GAGGAAAAACACTGAAATTCTGTAAAACGAGCCATCAACCGCAAGCTGCAAGGCACCACCAAAAAAATTCTCCCTGGCCTGAAAAACCCAGACTCTAGTCAGAGGATTAAACTTAATAATCCTGCATGAGGTGTTGCTTAGCCGACTTTGGATGCATCAATGATTTCCAAAAAGGGAAGTAATGAAGGGTTAGTAATAGGCATGAAAGAGGTTTAGTATGGTATAGCGTTTTGAACTTTTTGCTCGCATAAGATTATATCTGCTGAAATTTAAACACATAAATCTTGACCACAAAGGCAATGGAAGATAAGAATTGAGCACTGTGTACACTTTTTTTTTTAAATCACTGGTACCTTAACAATTATTATCTGGCACTTGTGGCCATATCTTGTCAGAAATGTTGTTTTCCAGAACGTTGAATAAGACCCGCTGAACCTCTTGAACTTGCTGCATATTTACAACTTTTTTTTGGCCAAATGAACAACAGCACAGGTATAATCAGAATTTTTTTCCTTGTAAATCAGACGTTAAAAAAAAAAATATTAAAAAAATGCCACATATTCCCGAAACCTGGTTGCTATGGGAGTATACATTTAATCATAACCTGGCCCCGCAATTCCAGCCTGTATCAAAAACAAATTACCCAGCTAATACTCGCCTCGTAAGAGGTAAAGCCAGTGTAATTGTATTTTTATGGTCCCCCTGACCGATTCCAACCAACTTTCCCAAGCTTGACTCGGTGGGATGTAATCAATGAGTGGACAAACACTCAGAACCCCTATGAGGCTGGAGTTAGGGAGACTATTTCAAGCAGCCGTTCCTTACATGTCGGATGATGACCACCTTATCGTCTACCAATGCAATAACCTTTTCTTATCAAATTGACCCCTTGCGCCTCTAATCAAATTTTCAAAAACGATTTTACTTTTCTAATATTTACATTCGGAAAGGTCAAATTGGATACAAATCTCTGCTATTTCTCAGCTACTTTCTTGGTAAGTCGAAGGAACCATAAAAGGAACCGTATTGATGCAAAGTGAAAACAGGTGACGAGAAAATTGTGGATGACTATTTTAAAGGTCTTATATTGACCCTATACTAATGCCACAAAAAGGGGGGGGGGGAATCTAGGACCGTCCAGCAGAACTTTCTGATCTGTAAGAAATAAGACACTTTATGCAGACTTGTACAACAATTACTACAGTCTGTTTTCAAGTGATTAAGCTTATCAAATGAATTGTGACAAAAGCATTCAGTTGTCAATGTTCATCCCCTATTACTTGTGATGATACTAACTTGTAACTTGGCATGTGTTTGTCTTAAGTGTGATTGACTTGTGTTTTCACTTGTCGGATTGAAAGTTTAAGTACAACACTGACAGTAAATAAAGTACCAATTGTTTGATGCATTGATTACGTTTTTTAATCAGTTTCAGTTTGCTCAGCAGCTAATGATCATGTTTCATAAACACGGCTGGAAAAGAAGTGGGTTGTTTTTTATATGAAATCTACATACTTCCTCTTTAGTTTTAATGCCCTACCTCACAATTGGGTCAGGTAGCTGCAGCCTATGAAACTCTAAATAGGCAATTGTGCTCTAATACACTTCGAGATGATTCTTAATAGTTTCAATTGAAAGTAACAAGACCCCCATCAAGCAAATAAATGGGCCAAATACAATCAGACGTACCCCTATAAAAAGTTTCCACTTGGCTACTGTGTCACACTATCCCATATCCTAAACATCTCTGACAACACAGGGGTTGGCAAAAGGGCATATCAATTCACCAAAACAGGTGTCGCAATTTACCAGTATTTGCAGGATGAAGGACTGTAGAGACTAATAATTCTGAGGTAATTTGTTGTGAGATGGAGTGGGCTGAATGACCTAGGAAGTTCAAACCTGATTATATACATACAAAGTTATGTACACAAAAATGTGCCTTGATCAAAATTATTTTAGTATGTCTTGTGTTTCTTAAACTAGCTTGTTCAGGATCTACAACTGTATCATAAAAAAATACTCTACTAACACATAGTCTGATTTACACATAGGCCTAAATGTTACAAAAGCGGTACGAAGCTTCTAAGTATTGAAATGCATACACCATCAATAAAACTAATTAGTCAAAACTGGCCCAAAAAATGGGATTATTTCCAGTACACTATTCCTGGAAATCGGGGGGGGGGGGGATTTTCCTTTGGGGAGGGGGACATAAACAATTTAAAGTTCCATATAAGCAAACATAGGAGCTAGATGTCAGTAGAGTAGAACAAGATTGATAGTTAGATGGAAGGATATTGCATTGATGGGAATGATTTTTTTGGAAAGGAAGCAGAACAGGAAAGTAGAAAAGAATCTGTCGTATCACTCACATGTAACATCCTAATGCTAAAGACACTTAAGAAGTGACAATCCATCTGCAGCTTGAGATAAACGCAGGCCTTAAAAAGATATAAGAAGATGAAAAAAATCTGACCTCGAAAAAAAATGTGGGTGACTGGGAGGGGTTAGAAGATACAATCCACTAGAGACATTGGGCTGTGTGTGGTGAGGATCAGGGACCTCTTTCGCATTCTTAATCACTGCAAGTCAATGGTGAAAGGGGTTAGCAGAGTCGCAGATTGATGGCAGCAGGAAGGAGATTTTAAAAGCAAAATTGAGATGCTGATAGAAGCATACTCGCGATGATTAAAATGAGTTAAACAGTATGAAAATTTACTTTTGCAATGGCAAAACCCTGGCTATATACGGGCCTGTTGCTAGCTTATACAATACGTTAGTAAAGGTACTAAACACTGTGTAAGACAGTATACACAAGGCAATAGTAACCCAAATCACATGTAATATACCATCCAATATATTTCCCGAAAAAGAGATTGTTTGGCGCATGGAAGCTGATTTAATTTTCTCTAGATTCTGTTTTTTCCTGTCTAAAATTTTAATTTCCCACCCTTCTTTATGTTAAGTCAAGTGCAATTTTTCAAATACTAGAGTACCGGTAGTAATTCTGATTTTGGTGTGTTTTAATTTGTCTATGGATATTAAAATCAGAGAGCCTTTCCATTGAAAAGTTGGTCTGTGCCTCGACCTGGTTGTATGATAATAATTGTCAACCACTTTGGCCTTGTACACGTATACCCAAAAAATGTGAAACCCCCCCCCCCCCCAAAAAAAAACTTTGGCCTGGTACATACCAAAAAAATGTGAACCCCCCCCCCCCAAAAAAAACCCTTTGGCCTTGTACATACCAAAAAAATGTGAACCCCCCCCCCCAAAAAAAAAAACATATACATAGTCATGTGTCCTAGCCCTTGGGTTGTAATCTCCTCCAGACCTCTACGTTCTGAGATCCTGCATCGAGTCAACATTTACTGTTAGGTTAACTCTCTTCACAAGACACAACAGGATTCCTTGTAGTAAAACATACATTTGTAAACCCCCCCCCCCCCCCCCAAAAGAAATTCCTCTCTGAGCTTACATCTGAAGACAGTCAGAGCATACTGACCGGAACATCGAGTTTATACCTCTGGTTCTTTTCAGAACCGTTCTCTTTGTTTGAGAAATTATTCCCACACGGTGTTTCTGCAAACCTTTCACTCATTAGTAGATCTTCACCATGTAAATCCTCAAAACTTACTGAGCTTACATCAGTTTAGATATAACAATCCTTCAAACTATTTTTGGCGAGTGTGCTGCCTTGACAACATAAGACAAAAATCCATACCAAAATCCAGCTCCCCCCCCCAAAAAAAAAATAGAATTTAATAATCAAGTATTTTCCAAGTACCCGTACATAAGCATTTCTGTCCCTGAGGAACAATCCCTGGATCTTTCAATTAGCAATATAATCCAACTAAATCAGCTTCTTCACTCAACATGCTCAAGGTTTTCCAGAAAATGCCATTGGCTTTGGTTGTAAGCTTGTCATCAAAGGATCTGACTTCAAATGATAAATTGACAGGCATCCCTGGGATAATGTCACTTCCCCCAACACTTGGATCCTATCACATCTGGACAGGTCTCCAAAGTGTTGCTGACAGGCCATTGGGATGTTGAGGTGCCATGTCGGGTCAGTACTCATCAATGGCTTGTCCAGTGAGGTTAAAGGTATTTACATAATTCTGACAGCTTGTGGGCAGCTGGAAAGTGTAAATTTATTTTTGGGTTAGGATGGCAATGATAGTCCACACTAGTCAACACTGGCCAAAACATCACAGTACACACACTGTCTGCAGACAACCATGTGTAAACATGTGTACATGTGTAGATTCCCTCAGCAATGATGTCCTGCACATTATTGAAGATGCTGGACATTGTTTACTTCGGCAAGTGTAAGGAATGTAAACAAATCACAGTTCCATCTATAAACATACAGGAATTCTGTCAACAGCGGTAGGATAAGAGACAAAAAGAAACCTCTATCTAAGCAGGTGGTCTGGAATGGTTTGCCATACACATACACTGTGTAATAAACCAAAACTATTTCCACTTTTGTTTAAACTTGCTCTTCCTGTGTTCTTCAACAAATCAGATTTTTGTATCTCATGAACTTACGATTCATATTTTTTATTGCAACAAAAATCTTCTTTTTCTGTTGTTTTGTTTCAGGTTACTTTTGCACTTCTGCACAAAAAGATCTGCAGCATTGAGATATTGCCAGGCTGCAAGTACATTCCATAACTAAATGTGGGAAGACATTTCAATTCAATATCCTAATAATCAAAAGTTATTAACTTTTGTACTCTTCAAACACTGCTAAAAAATCTATTTTGCAGTGTGAAACTCGCAAATAAACAAGGACAGCAACTTTAATCATTAATCAACAGATTAAAGAAATAATTGCCATATATTCAATAAACATTGTAAAGTTGGTTTTCCCACTGTGGAAATCACTCTTTGCAATTACTCTTTGCAATTTCCACAAAGTTCTCTCAAATAATCTTGCCAAAAGAGGGCAGCAGATATGTCTGTCTGTATGAAGCAAGCTTGATACCTACCTTGCACATGCCATCCACACAGATGTCTGTTCGTGATGAATTCCTGCAAGGTGTGCCATCCACCACTTTATCTGCTAGTTTGGCAAAGAAACGGGACCCAACAGCTTTGCAGTTGAGCTCGCATAAATTAGGTTCTGTATCAGGGTAAACATAATGCATAAAAGTAGCAAACTCAAAGTTACAGACACATGTATTAGTAACAATGTACAATAACAAATTTTATGTCCACTTTTTAGAAAAGTAAATGATGCGTTTTTGTTGCCAAGGTCCAGTTTTTATAGCTTGGGCCTATTTAAATGTTATCATGCATAATTGTGGTTGTCAGTAGCCTACCCTACACAATTTTTTAAAAATTAATAATGTCAAAAAAGTTTTAAAAGAGGGATATTAACAGTTTCATGAGTTTGCCATATTTTGTTGTGACTTTTACCAAGCTCCTTTTCTGTAAGTGTAAAGATGTGTTGCAGGACTCACAATCTCAAAATGAAAATGTGTCTTTACATTTGTTTTGTTTTAAGTTTAATGTTTGTTTGTTCATTTTGTTTTGTTGGGGGTAGGGTTTTTTTAATTGGAAGTACATGTACAGAACCACTGAACTGGTACCAAAAATTGATATTTTCTCAAGCATTTCATTCCTCTGGACACTCACCTGGCTGTCTTCACCGCTCGTGTTTATTTGAAATATTTAATTCATGAGCATATTTGCTGCTGCCTGCCATTTTTTCCCAACATATAATCTTATGAAACAGCAGAGGGCGCTATTACAACATTGCATCTGAACAGAACCTGAAATATCAGTTATCAAAATAGAGGTGGACCCAACTTTGCGGCTTTGAATATTAATACTACTTAAGAGAGAAATTATCATTGAAACTTTTGGTACTGTCTTAAGAGTTTCCAAATGGGTCAAATCTTGTAGCTAAATGGGAACAGAAAAATAAGTTCCTTTATGGGCCGCGGGAGGGGGGTGTTAAATGTTACCTTTTTCTATAGATTTCCACTGGTAAAGCTTTCCCATAAACGGAACATTGTTGTGACTTCCACATTGTTCCTGCCTGAAGTCTTTGTCGTCTGGACATGGCTGGGAAGAAAAGGGCATGGAAAATGAAGAAAGTCACGGTACTGGGAAAGGCAACGATGCGGAAATAAGCCCGGGAAAAGCATTTTTCGTTATTCACATTATTTGAGAAACAGAAGAGACAGATACTATTATTGACACCTGTTAGTTAGAATGTAGGAGAATTTCTAACTTTTGGTTAACAAACGAGAACTTTTATTGAACTACATAAGGCATTATAACCACAGCTTCTGGAAAGTACCGGGCCATCAAATCCCAAACGAAAAGAATTTAATCGAAGCAGTATCAACAGCCAAAACACTTTGAAATGTGTCATAATAATTAAAAACCTGAGAAGTGTGCCTAGTAAATAAGTTATAACTTATGTGACAATGCGAACTTATGACAGAAAACAGTGATGCAAAAATCGTCGAAAAACACAATTCTGAGGTTTGGTTTGGGAACATTGAGTGGTGGTACCTACCTCTGGATTGCACAGTTTATATTGCTTGTAAAGTCCCACACAGTGTGTGCTTTCTCTTAACTCCCCTCTGCAATTAAAAGAAAAGTTGAAATGACTTTGTTATATTTAGGGCATCCTTTTTTAATTGTTTGGTTCTCAGTTTCGACCGATCCTACTACTTTTGGGCTCCCGACCCAAGAAAAACAAAATTATTACCACAGACCGTGTCTGGAGCCCAAACTAAATTAAAAATTACTATTGAAGGAAGAAACAAAAACAAATTCAGGCAATCATGCCATGTGTAAAGCTATGGAAAATAAAATTGGTGCGGAGGACTGAGGGGGTATAACAGTTCGTCAATGCGATAAGGTGGAATCGTGTCATGCTGATGAATTTCATTTAAAGATGATACCTCTGCTCTTACGAAAAAATTTGGTTATTTTTTCTTCACGAATTTTCAATTTTTTTTTTTTTTTTACGAAAAAAAAACTTTATTGCAATTTGGGCGTCTGCAACCCTCTGAAAAAGGAATTTCATTTTGCGCACAAAGAACCCGTTCTGGGAGAGCCGAATTATTGTCTGTCAAAGAAGAAAACAATTGCAAAAAAAAAATTCATAAAACGTCAGTTGATTTTTTTTTGTTCGATGTCTCATTCAAAAGTGAGAACATTTTATATTTCTAAGAAGATAGCAGTTGAAAAAACAATGCATTTTTCGAGGTGAAACTCGAAAAAAAAAAAGCATGGGAAAACCATCTGTAATAGATTTCCTCCTACTGACCCTTCTTAGGATAGCTGTGTTTATAACGGAGAAAGCTTTACGTTCATGCAGGACTCTATTTGTTCTCCCAAAAATTGTTCCAATTTGTGCTGCCCGCAAAATTATATAGGCCTACCAATACTTTTGGAATTTTGAGCACGATTCAAAATTTTGCAGATTATTTCGCATTGTTACCGTTCGCCGGTAGTTTTCTGTGATGTCTGACTTGAAAGTTCATAACTTATCCTATTTGCTGAAGAAAAAAAATGATCCAATTTTGAAGATTTTAATCTTCGGGACGCCCCACCCAAATCACGAACGTAGCAACTATTTGACCTTTTGCACGCCCCAAAAGCTCGCCCGCGCCGCAAAGAATGCGTGTGCAGGCTGCTAGACCTGTAAATTGTACAGGGCGCTCTCTATCGATAGACCTACAAAAAAAAATCTAGGTCGGCCTAGAAATAGTACCACGTCAAAGTTGACCGGTGAAAAGTGAACTCATAATTCTACTTGCCGTGTGCTTGCTATCGTATAGGTCATCAATGATAATGGGCTCCAAAAGGCCCCTTTTATGGAATGTTCACTAGCTTATTTGTGACAGGTTCAGGAAGTTTTGACCAGTAAAAAGGTCACACTAACACGTGAGAAGAGATGCAAGGCTTAATAGGAACAGTGAACGAGAGGTTATTACGTGGGCAAGCTGAGGTCAAAGGACTGAGATAGCAATGCATTTGCCGACTTTCCATGATTTGATTTGAAGGAAGTCTAGCTGCCAACAAAATTATCTTAGCCCTTATACTATAAACACGTATAAGACAAATTGGGAAATGTACCACGCGAATATTGGTATGAAATAACACCAATAATTGCAGATTTCAGGTTGGTTCACATCTGCGCCAAAGCGAAAACGAATGCCAATAATCAGCAATCATTTTAACGCTGCGAAACAAAACGTCAACGCATCATTTTCGACTCCGATGATTTTCGCTACCGGTGTTTGTTGCAACGTTGGTGTCAATTGCGAAGTATGAACCGGCCTGAAGAACCGTTTGACCATGAATTTGCCCGTCACTTCAGGGAGTAGAGCAAAGGCGTGGACATGAAGTCAAGTCGAGATGACAGAATGTCTAAAAAGAGGAACTATGGGTGTAGAGAGATAGCTGGGATGGGGAGGGGCTAGGAAGGGTCAAGAGAGGGCGCTAATCCGCGTAGGATGGATGAATAGGTGAGATTGCAAGGTGGCAAAGACCAAAGGGAAGAGGGGTGGCATATTTTGGTGGACCATGATGGGGTGATGCAGAGCCAAGGAAGCATCTTGATCTTGTTACTTGAAGAGCACCGGTAAGCTCTTATATTATACCACGCCTATTTGACGTCAAAAAATAATAATAATAAAAATTTACCCCAAAAAAATCAAACGTGAAAAACCATAGCCCTTATAAAATATGCGTCAAGGTGGAGGTGGAGGCCAGTGATTATGGCTTGAGTAGGCCCTAAGCCATTTCTGCAGTCATATAATACTCAATTAAATTAACACAGAACACCCTCAAAGGTATCCGTATTCCGATCTGTCGCATATATTGCAAGCACAACTCCACAACGGGATATACGGTTGCAGGCGCGTGGTGGCTAGCAGAAATTTTATAGTATTAATTACATGTATTAGTATTAGTATTAGTATTAAAGATAGTTGCATCCCCTGACGTTTCGATATAATGGACTCCATTGAAGGAGCTTCCCTGACGTCTACATAGGAAGTAGGTTTGACTTAGTTGTTGTTCTTTGTAGGAAAGAATACCAGTAGCAGTCCTTTTTAGATGTAGGGTGGACAAAGGAAATTGAAGATGATTTTCTAGTTGAAATTTGTCCCCCTTTGAAATCAACTTGGTATTGAAGATGCAGGTTGCAGGTACCTGCAACGCATAATGGTGCATATTTGACAGTAAAAAAACAACAGGTGTATAAATAAAATAAAATATTCGGTCTCTGGTCAGACCAAAGTTCCGGAATTGACGCGGCGACGCGGCTTTTTTTTTTTTTGGCTTCTTTTTTTTTTCTTTAAGCTTGGATTGTACAGACAAGGTGGGGTACTATTTTGCTTTTTTGGTGTCCTCATGTACATTGGTGTCCTCCATAATTATCCTTGGTGCTTTCGATCATTTGCCTTGGTGCAATTTCCCATTCCTTGGTGCTATTTGGTAAAAAAAAAAAATGAGGAGGTGCGGCAATAGAGGGCGCTGTTGGAGCTACCGCGGAACATTTTGGGGAAAAAATAGATTGACGCGCACGATTAAAATCGACGCGCGCGCTGACCAGAGACCGATTTTTAATTTTTTTTTTGGCCTAAGGCGTGTGTAATCCACTCTGGACAGTGCGTTGCAGATATATTTTGAATATGACGCGTCACTGTCTCAAACACTAGCCCATTAAGAACGACGTTGAAAGTAGACCATGTGAACGAGGTTGTGGTGATTAATATGAAACAACGGGATGTTATAGTTGAAATTAAAGAAAATACCTCACTGTTTAAAAGTGAAGGTTTATTTATGAAAGTGTTTTTCTTAACATTTGTGGAAGTTATCCGTCAACACTTAAAAAGCTACGAAAATTGATATCGCTTAATAGCCCACATACACCCACCTCCTGCGAGAAATTCCATCAACTCAATGTGGCATCACGCTCATACATGCCATACGGCGCCATGTGCCCTAAGTTATTATGGGAAAGGAACCGTCAAGCTAAGTTCAATAACATTCGGAGTATGTTCCGTCTCGGTTGAAATATACCAGAAACAGTTCACCTCTATAAAACAGACCTATACGCAGTCAAACCATTTACCGGAAAACATCGAGAGGCCAATACAAGAACCTTTATACTAAAATCCTTGACATGGAGCCATGCACACCCCATTACGCCTACGGTACTCTCAACATTTTTATTATCCCTAAAGATGTTTAATGATCTTTGTAGCAATTTCTACGGTTTTATTTCTGTCTGGAACTTCCGAACTGTGAGTCGTATCACCTAAGGTTCAGTTCGGGAGCGTTTTATAATTCGTTCCAAACTCTTGTGCGATACATGTTTTGTATCTCGTGCTAACAGTTGCAATTTAAGTTAAGTTTTTTCGCCAGGCCAGAGCATTATTTTGCACTCGAACTTGTTTTTTTTTACGAAAACGTCACAGGTTATTACAAGGGAAAAACTGAATCTTGCGAACAAAGAGGGGATTAATTAAATTAAAGTTTGGCAGCATCTTCCTTGCATCTGACGTCGAATCCGAGGGCAGGTCTTGATGTGGCAGTCGCACTGTACGAGTAGACGCATTGTACTTTAGCTGTAACTGAATTTAAATGATAAAACGTGTCCCCAGAGAGAGAGCGAACCGCGCAAAAGAATCTGTTGAGGCATAGCGTTTCACTGAGTACCTTACAGTTCATGTTTTGAGACCAAAACCGAAGAATTGCACGTTTTCATTTATTGAATTACGTGCATGCATTTTCTCCGGTTGTGGTGTGTCCCCTTTCTTTTCCATTTCAAGTTGCGGAAACCGAGGCACAAAAAAAAACAGGTGCAAATTGACCTATATAATACGGAATGCATGACGGTGCGGTATGTTCTCATGAGATCTTCATCCTGGACTTCCCCTCGACTAGACTAATCATGTCCTTCAGGTGATTCAACCAAGCTAGGTGTAGAGGCCCTTACATTAATCATGGAGGTAGAATTCTACCTCCATGCATTAATTATCGAGTCACGGATTACTTAGGATTTCCACAGGAGCGTGTGGCTGTGGATAAAAATCATTCCAAAGGGTCAATGGCTAAGTGGTGTTTGTATGGATTAGGGGTGTTAACTTTTGGTCGCCTCCTATAGGAAAGCGCTATTTGAGCACTGGGTAAACTATTTTGTATTGACCCAAACTCTACTCCAATAGCGCCTCCTATGGAATAAATTTAGCCCAGTACAGTCCACATTCGGGTTGACAGAGTAGACTTAGCGACAAGATCCGGGTTGATAAGGAAAGCGACAAGATAGACGTATACATAGTGGATTCAAGATAGTAGTTAACCTAACATGACGCCAATGTCAGATGACCAAAACGGGCAGGATTACACTGTCTCCGAAAACGTCCGAAGTTTTCCGAACTCGTTTTCATTGATACTCGGGCATTTTTGCCAGAGCTCGGGTATTCCCGGGTGTGAAATGATTGCATTTTCCGACACAATGTATGCCGTGTTTCATATCAATGTTGAAAATGTTAAATTCATTAAAAGGGAACTCGAATTTAATATATATAATATACAAGGCGTAATAGCAAGAATATATATTTTAAAGCCCATGTAGGCAATATGCATTCTTACGAGAACAGAGTTTTGCTGGGTCATGTTCTGTTTTTGACCTGCGATCTATTAAATGACGTCAGGAGATCGTCGGGGCAGTGAACCAGACTACCTCATCTTTCCCATCATTCCTCCTTACCCTCCGTTTCTCATCAGACACACTCTGGACTGTGCTGCAACACCGCCCCCACACGTCCTTGAGCAGGCCGACCATGATTCCCAGTTACCCCAGTAGGAAAGAACGGGCGGTCTGCTCATCAGACCACGTTTCTGTACAGGAGGAAAGAAGAAGAAAGGGAAATCATTGTAGTTTTTACGTTAGAGTGATTATAGTACGGTAATAGCCATTTAACACTGCTTTACAAACGCAGTCATTATTTTAATGAGTTCCGTGTATATACTAACGAAGCAGTTTCCTTGATCATCGTTGGTTTGATGAATTTCATTTGTTTTAGTCTACGTTTTATATATTTCAATGACGTATTACGTACATTGACTTACTGCATTAGAACAGTGTTGAAAGCTGACGAAAGTGAAAACTAGAATGACAGCAAAAAGACCGTTACTCCCAGCTAGCTTCAAATATCGCTGAGAACAATGGAACGAAGAATTTTGGATATTTTGATGACATAACTTTTCTTTTCTTTGGTGAATCGTTGTTGTTTCGGTTCGTGACAGCTAGCCAACGAGCAAATTTTTCCGCACAAAATGAGCAAATTTTTGGTTCACAATTTGAACAGAAAACCCCTCAAGTGAACAGTGTCTTCCTGACATGACATCACAGCAACAGCGCCCTCATTTGTAATGAAAAGCATGGACAATTCTATGTTTTAAAAAAGTGCACTTTTCAATAAAATTTACCAAAACGGGGCGTCGAATAGTTTTCATACATTTTAAGAGGAGAAGAAAGTTGTACAAAATATGTTCTGAAAAAAACTTTTCTTCATCGACCCTTTAAGTGTGAAGCAAGTGAATGTAAGTAAAGTAGCCTACATGTACAATTACCACCGCTTACTTCGCAACACTGTCAGGGAACAATAATTGTCTTTATCGTAAGGAGTTTGTGTGCACTGCGAACTGCTAAGAAAACAAACGACTCAACAGCGTTTGGTTTTCCAATTGTTATCAGTACAAAAGCACACTATAAACCCTCATTGCTTGGCTGTTCTCTCTTTGTAAAGGCAGTCCACGGAAAACATTTACAGAAGGTTATTTCGTTTCAAGTTATACGGACAAAAAAGCGTAGCTTATAATTCTTTAGGTAGTGCAATTTCCATCGTGCCTTTTTTAAAGACAGTTTTCACGCAACTATTAAACAAAATAAACACACAGTCAACTTTGCTCCCTGCGGTCAGCTGGGGCCAAGAAATAGCCATTCTTCAGCTGAAAGACTGGATTTGATCGGCAGCTTATCTGAAGTACCATGCAGTGATATTTTGGGTGTGGGTTTGGCTATTCTGTTAGGCCATTGCCATCACCAAAGGAAAAGGAAGCTCTGCCATTTTGGGTGGTCCCAGCTAGGAGACCGAATTAGTGTTCTCTTTGTACCTATCTGACTTACTGACTGACTCACTGCACGAACTGACTGTCGCTTGTGACAGTGTAGGCTGATGGATGGAGCCGGGCAGTGCTTTCGTATATGACTACCCAGCTTCAATATAGGCTTGTAACGTTTTCGTGCAAATGGAGTGTAATGCTCTTAGTAAATGAAAGTTTAATATCTAAGGATGCGTTTGTGTAACAAGGTTGTCTCGTTTGTTCGTACCATCACAGCTTAAGAGTTAAGCTACCCGCGGCCTGGCGCTTGTAATTAAAACACATTCAACACCTATTACTATACTCAAATGTAGACGAATCCGTGATCACTGTACATTCACGGCCCCTTCAATGGAGAAACCATTGTGCGCACTATTGTACAAAGCCATGGGCGTAACGGGGGGGGGGGCAATTGGGCTCTCCCCCCCCCCCCCGGAAAAGCCAACTTGACAACAAGGGAGGGGGAAAGAGAAAAGAAAACGAAAAGAAAAAGAGGGGAGAAAATAGACGGTTTTTAACAAAGCGTTGAGTCTAGCACCCTCTAGATTTTTCCACTGCCAGTGATTTCTTTCTTTCCACGCTCCTGTGGAAATCCTAAGTAATCCGTGACTCGATAATTAATGCATGGAGGTAGAATTCTACCTCCATGATTAATGTAAGGGCCTCTACACCTAGCTTGGTTGAATCACCTGAAGGACATGATTAGTCTAGTCGAGGGGAAGTCCAGGATGAAGATCTCATGAGAACATACCGCACCGTCATGCATTCCGTATTATATAGGTCAATTTGCACCTGTTTTTTTTTGTGCCTCGGTTTCCGCAACTTGAAATGGAAAAGAAAGGGGACACACCACAACCGGAGAAAATGCATGCACGTAATTCAATAAATGAAAACGTGCAATTCTTCGGTTTTGGTCTCAAAACATGAACTGTAAGGTACTCAGTGAAACGCTATGCCTCAACAGATTCTTTTGCGCGGTTCGCTCTCTCTCTGGGGACACGTTTTATCATTTAAATTCAGTTACAGCTAAAGTACAATGCGTCTACTCGTACAGTGCGACTGCCACATCAAGACCTGCCCTCGGATTCGACGTCAGATGCAAGGAAGATGCTGCCAAACTTTAATTTAATTAATCCCCTCTTTGTTCGCAAGATTCAGTTTTTCCCTTGTAATAACCTGTGACGTTTTCGTAAAAAAAAACAAGTTCGAGTGCAAAATAATGCTCTGGCCTGGCGAAAAAACTTAACTTAAATTGCAACTGTTAGCACGAGATACAAAACATGTATCGCACAAGAGTTTGGAACGAATTATAAAACGCTCCCGAACTGAACCTTAGGTGATACGACTCACAGTTCGGAAGTTCCAGACAGAAATAAAACCGTAGAAATTGCTACAAAGATCATTAAACATCTTTAGGGATAATAAAAATGTTGAGAGTACCGTAGGCGTAATGGGGTGTGCATGGCTCCATGTCAAGGATTTTAGTATAAAGGTTCTTGTATTGGCCTCTCGATGTTTTCCGGTAAATGGTTTGACTGCGTATAGGTCTGTTTTATAGAGGTGAACTGTTTCTGGTATATTTCAACCGAGACGGAACATACTCCGAATGTTATTGAACTTAGCTTGACGGTTCCTTTCCCATAATAACTTAGGGCACATGGCGCCGTATGGCATGTATGAGCGTGATGCCACATTGAGTTGATGGAATTTCTCGCAGGAGGTGGGTGTATGTGGGCTATTAAGCGATATCAATTTTCGTAGCTTTTTAAGTGTTGACGGATAACTTCCACAAATGTTAAGAAAAACACTTTCATAAATAAACCTTCACTTTTAAACAGTGAGGTATTTTCTTTAATTTCAACTATAACATCCCGTTGTTTCATATTAATCACCACAACCTCGTTCACATGGTCTACTTTCAACGTCGTTCTTAATGGGCTAGTGTTTTTTTCACAGAGGGGGGCAAAGCACTCACCTAAATCTAAGAAAAAAATCCTGGAGACACCCATGTACAAAGCATACGCCCCGTGACGGATTATCTGAACAACAGCTAGCACAATGCTTTCGCCATTGAAGGGGGCCTCAGTCTGTGACAGAAGTGATAGCGTGCCCGGTCTATGGTTGGTCTATAGCTCCATGGTTTATACAAGAGCAAAGTTATAGGGAATCGCAGGTAACCTGCTAAGGTTGACAGGTGCTGCTGTGAAACAGAACTATTTTGCTGTCTTCCTTCATTGCTTCCCCGTCGGGTGATTCCAGCGCACAAACCCAGACAACCGCTAATGGTTCACATATTCAGGTATTATTGAATTTCCTTAACAGTTAAAGCTTAAAGGCAAGTACTTATCAATGCTTTTGGTAAAAACGTATACTGGGTAGCATTTCGTAAAGCCCGTTTGCTGCACTTTGTTGAAGTGTAGAGCAAGAAACAATGTATGCCAGGTATTAGACAGCCCAAAAAAGTGGAGAAATCAGTCTGAAATGTAATAGGCCTAAAGGGTAGTATTTTACGGAATATTAAGCTGCATTAAACTATGGAAGTTTTGGCCAACTTAATCATGAATGGGAAAAGATTAAAATCCACATTCATTCTCCAGTTATTTTGTCCTTTAAATGGCAACTTTTCCTCCATTCGACAAATCGAAAAGCAAACAAACTCACAGTGATCACAGTTGTCATCCTGTGGATCGTAATTCAATAAAGCGTTCAATCGCGGACGCCTAGGCCTAAAGATAGTTTGCGTCGGGATTTTATTTCTCCTCGCGTGATGATGGGGTTGACCCATGGCTTTTTCATGCTATCTTTTTTATTTTGTTGACTTTTCATCAACATTCACACATTCTTTTCACAGAAAAGCTGGCAACATCATTCCGACTGTAAATTATCTCACAGTGGTGTACATGAAGTTTTGATGAGAATTTCACCGACCCAAACTGGGGAGGTGGTTTACTTTTGGGGCACACTGCAGCGAAGAAAACACGTGGTGCACAGCGGGAAAACGAAAGTGTTAAAAACAATTACTTCACAATGTATACATGAATGTTTTGACAATTACCGTTTTGAGAGCTAAGTGCAAAGGGACTATTTGATGTATCTTAATCGTACTAACTTTAAACCAAAAATTAACAGTATTTTTGATGAACACAGAAAACGTGACGTAAAACGAGGCATATGAACACAATATAGACGTTAACTTATTCATGTAGTAAATATGCATATCTACAAAATTCAGTGCATTTGCAAGTTTAAAGTGTTACATTTGGAAAAGAGCACTGAAACGAGTGCTTGTTCAAGTTTGAAGCCACTTTAATATATTTTTTTTCGAAAAGCGAGTTGCATGGCAACACGAAAATTTGAATGAAACACCGTTCGACGCCTTCTCGTTGTCGAAATAGTCATAACAAATCCCACGCAAACTGAGTAGTCATGCACATTCTTTTCAGAAAGTATTCTGCCCACGTCAATTCCTACGAGACAAGGAGGTTTACCTAATAATCCCATGTCATGAGAAAGTGGAGTGAACAAGCTTCACAGAGACTCCAACACGACAAAGAAAATCAAATCAAATCCTGCTTTTGTAAGACAACGAGTGAAAGTCGTCGGGAAAAAAAGCAAGGCCGTAAAACTAAACAACAAAGTCCCACGGAGGAGTACGCGTACAAGCAAAATCACGTGAAACTCGTGGGAGGTATTTGCGCTTGTAGATGATTGTTTTTCTTCCTCCAAATATTGCT